TTCCGAATTTGAACATGATGTTTTGTTGTAAAGCTTCCAAGAATCAGTAATCAATGTATCTAAATCATGGTTAATGTAAACTGTTCCTGACTCAAGTATGGCTCGTTTGAAGAGTCCTTTGGAAAGTGGGGACAACAGGTGAGCAGAAACTGACCAAGATCCAGCAGATTCACCAGAAATTGTCACACTATTCGGATCACCACCAAACATTTGAATATTTTCATGAACCCATTTCAAAGCAAATAGTTGATCTTTAAAACCAATATTTTGAGGAATTCGAGGCTGATTGACTCCGAAGTAGATGAAACCGAATGCATTAAGACGGTAATTAATAGTAACAAATATAATATCATGTAACGGGACCATTGGAATTCCTTCAGCGTCTGCATTGCCAGATCCTGATGTTAAAGCCCCACCATGAATCCAGAATAGTACTGGTCGTAGTTTGTTTGATGAGTTATTAAAAGTTGATTCAGTAACATAGATATTAAGATAAAGACAGTCTTCACCAGTTTTTCCCGCATAAGGCATATTTGTAATTGGATTTCCTGGTTGGAGACAAGCTGGACCAAAGTCAGTCGCTGATTTAACCTCAGTCCACGGGTCTGGTTTAACTGGTAACTGTAACCTCAACTTACCAACCGGTGGCTTTGCATAAGGAATACCGAGAAACTGGTAAACACCAAGCCATTCATATTCAGTAACTTTACCTTGGATAGGACCACTAGTCAAATTAACTATTGGAGTTAAATGAAGCCCATGAATGGGTGAAAAAATGAAACAAAACAATAACAAAATATTCATTTTAAATAAACATTAATCACACATCATAAAAGCTCGTCTATTTTTATATAGCCAACTCAGCAGCAAATTCATGTTATTATCTCAAATAAATCATTAACCCGTGACTAGGTGCAAAAAATCAATAAATCTAATGAGATTGCTGGAAAACAATAGAATTAAAAATTTTAGGTTGTTGTGCTGAAAAGATTATGTATCAGAGTCTGTTGGAGCCAATATTACAAAATTTACCACCGAAAAAATTTTTTTTCATCAATTTATAATTGAAATTTTGTAATGCTATCTTGATGAAACCAAAAAATTGCATTTTTATGCATACTGCTGACAACAAAACTCAAACTATTAGCGCTATTTGATTGGCAAAATGTGCAAGCTGTGTTTGACCATTGAATTCTATTCAATTCAGATCATTTTCGTTAGAGTGGCAAGGTTAAAGTTGTACATTCTGTGCATATAACTTCATCCAATCTTTTTCTTTTTAGGTTTTTAATTGCTTTCTACTTCTTTCTTTGGTTGTAGCTAATTATTATAACAATATACAGGGCAAGTTCGCTAAAAGGTATGTTTTGTTTTGGCTATTATTCAGACCCAAGTTGACCGATTGACCCAATATTGTGTTTACGCACGTTTCGCCGATATTTATTTGCCATATTTCAAGGTCAAGGTCTTACAAGGTCATTTTGCGGGAAATGCTCAGGAAGACTTTAGAGGTCAAATGAAAGTCATTGCATAATTTTTAATCTTCAAAATCATTCATACAAAGTTTCAACCTTCTGTGATTATTGCTTATTGATTTATTACGGTTTAAATATCCAAATCACATTGAGTAAAATTTTAGTTTTCATGTTGAAAAATCAATATCATTGTGCAGAGCTCCGTTGCCTCTGGTTGCGATTGAAAGATCGTGTTTTCAAACGAAATCTTCGAACTGTTGATGAGCTCAAATCATTCATTTTCATTACGCTTCTCTATAGAAATTGAGTCAGTACCGACTCCCTTTAGATTTAGAACGCACTCCTCCAAGATTCAGTACCAAATGAAAAAAAAAGATCAGAAATAAGTTAGCACTAACGACACAAATATTTACTACCATTACTAACCCAAAAGAACAAAGTAGAATCTGTAAAAATCAAAAAAACAAATCAAGTTGGCCCAGTGAGCTTGAAACTGGAGGTTGGGCTTGGTTACATTCAGTAACCCATTTTTTACGCGAGTTGATTGAATTTACTGATGACGCGGGATAAATGAAAATTGCAAAACAAAAAAATTCATGCAGAATTAGTTAACATCCTTGTTAAATCAGCGATTTCTTATCAATGAAATCAATGAGATTCACAATTGATTAAGGTATACTTTTCAAGAGTGTCAGCCAAGTTCACCGGATATTAACCGTTTGAACCTGCGTGGAGAGTGGCATTTTCTTCAACAATCGAAGCTGCACGTGGGATAAACATGTTGTTGACATGAAAGCCTTTTACATCGAAAGAACAGCAGATATTAGGAATGTTGATTGGAGCTAGCCTCAAAAATTAGAAAGAAAAAAGATTACTAAAGATTTATTTGTCATTTTGTAAAAAAAAGTTTTTCAAATGCTGTAAAGAACCTCACATACATAATTTGTTGATTTTCAGTGAATTAAGAGGACTTGCGTACTAACCGCGTTTCATTTTAAATTTTGAACAATTTACAGTTATGATAATTCAAATTTCAAAACAAAATAGAAACGAAATGGATGCGCTGCGTTAAAATCTTCACTTCGTGTCACTACGCTTCGATAATTACAACAATGTACTTATATGTATAACTAAAAAACCTCATAAACCGGCCTAAAATTTTAAATCGTTTGTCCGGATCAAATTGTAAACAAATAAATATAAATGCCCTTTATATTTTTATATCAACATCTATCATTACTGTTAGGATCCAAAAAATATTGAAATTTAAGCCAATTTTCGACTATTTTTAAAAATCGTCTGAATAATTGTACGTTAGTAGTCTTATAAAGTCCTCTTCCAGGACAACTTCGATTCTCCAGGACAGATTTTCTGTCCTCTTCCAGGACAGTCCGCCTCTGGGATAAGGGGAATACCATCACACGATATTTTTTTTTACCGTGAAAAAATGAAAACTTTTTTTAATGAAAAATGAAAACTTTTTAATGAAAATTAAATTGAATGAAAAATGAAAATGAATTTAATACAAATTGAAGGCCACGACTGGCATCTCTCAATTCCAGTTCTCGAACTCGATCCAACGAGTGTATCTCTCCTGAAATACTTCAGGAGGGAAACCAAAGGCGGCTTCACACCGCAAATCAATATAAGTAATGAACTGGTCCTTTTGAGCCAGTTCATTTCTCACCTCCGCCACTTCAGCTCTCAGCTCCTGGTTTTTGGCTTGCAGGTGCTGGTTTTGGCTCAACAGGCGCTGATTTCGCACCATCAGGCGTTCGATCCGCGCCTCCTAGTCCTCATACGATCGAAATTTTTCGATCGCAAGCTCGATTGTTCGGATGATGAAGGAGGGGACGGCGACCATGACTGACTCGAGATGAGTCAAAACTCTTCGGAGTTGAACATGAAGGGGAGATGTTGGACTGAAAAGAGAAAAAGGTTATTAAAATGTCAAAAGTGAATTAAATACTACACCGTATGATGGTATTAAGATAGCCACAATGATGAAGAAGGATATAAAGAAATAAAAAAGGATATCCTGAATATCTGTAAGGACATGCGATTGATCACCTTTGATGGTAAAAATGAAACCTTATCCAGCCTTCAAATCACACCTAACAATTCGCTCACGAATAACACTAAACATGTAGATGCCAGGTCGTTGTTTGAAAACGTTCCTAATGAAAGACTAATCAGGTTCTATTTACCAGAAGCTAAGCGTTTGAAGAACGCCCTTACGGATGCGATGAAGTCCGAATTAGTTGCAAGATATGTTCGCTTATACCGAAGGCACTACCAAATATTAAATGACCATAAGAAAGTACCAAACGGCGAAACTGTAAGACTTCTAGATCTTAATAAAAACAGTGTTGAAGACTGGTTAAAAGAACAGGGACTGTTCCAAATAGCGGCCGGCATGTGTAACAAATAAAATCAATTTATTGATTTTCAGTTGTAATTGACTATAAGTAAATTAATCATTATGACACCTTTTGGTTCGACCATTTCGCATCAATCAAATTGACACTTTATTAGTTGCAATGGCTAGTAATAAATCTTGCTGTCTTCAGTATTTCACCTATTGTTAGATATTAATTGTGTAGTGAGTCAAAAGAGCCAAGTGAGCTTGTAAGAATTTAGTATAAAAGGATTGAAGTTTCTTACAAGGGAACAAGGCGAAGTGGTACTCACCGATTTTAATGTTCTATAGCTCATTCGAAAGAGCTCGTCGAGTAGATAAAAAGTTATTTTTTAGCTGCCCATATGACTTTTTGCAAAAGTTACAGGGTGTCAAAGTTGAAAATTTACACTTATTTTAATGTTCATTTAAACCAATATATTTTATTTAAATGTATAATTAATGGCATATGCGTTCTTAATTTTGTATTTCAGAACGTATTGTAAAAGATTAACACCTTTTCATCAATTTAATTGACAAAACAAAGAATCAACACTCATTTTATATGTTAACCTTAAATTGATTGATTTGTTTTTTAAAAACTATCTTAAAACATGTTTCTTTTGATTGACAATTTGCGTCAATTAAACATTGACGCAAATGAAAAGATGTTCGCTTCTCTTTCTTGTTTTCTCTTTCTATTTTATATCAAATCAAGTATAAAACTACTCGTTATTGTTGAACAAAGGATCATTAAAGTATTGGTTTTTATTATATACACCTCTCCATTATTAAACAACTAACTTTAAATTGATCAACTGGCGACCACGGCAGGATGGTCTGCCCTGCTTCATCAACTTTAATAACTATCCCTAGCCCAACGCCTTTGGCATACACTAAACGAGTCATTGTTTACAAACGTGATTCACAGCTTATATTTTCTACCACTTCTTCGCTTGGTTCTTCTCTCACTGGTAACTCAGCCTCCTGTCTTGAACCTTCTCTTGGAAGTTCTGTCATCGATTCTAGTCTAACAATTGTTCCCTCTGACTCTGTGGCTTTGTGTTCTTCTCTCGTTGATTCCAATTATTGCAATTCGCCTGATATCTCTCTCGATCCTTCAACTTTCTCAAGCCCTTCTGGTACTTCCCTCACCACTTCAGTAACCACTGCGACTTCACCCACTCGTTCTCTCTCTTCGATTTTAAATCGACTCAAATTTAATAAGGTAACTGGGTCTTGTGCGACTGATCGACCTCTACCTACTACCTCATCAATTTGTACATTGGTTGATGCAACTGAATCTTTAGTTTCTCCTCGTATTGCTGTATCGCTTGGTGGTTCTACTGGATCTCATTCCTTTGGTTCTGGCCTTTCCAGTCTTCCAGTCAGCTTGAAACCCTCTTCTTCTTTCAATAAAACCACAACTCTTACTGACAAATCTCTTAATTTAGGTATCGTTGGCCCAATTGTTAATCTTCCTTCTACTGCAAATCCAAAGGCATCTGCAGTCCAATTAACAGGTTAGTCACGTTCGAAGTTTCGCAAAGAAGCCAGGGCAGTTCCATAGTGGAAAACGCCCGGTGCTGCGACCCTAGAACAGCGTTCAAGGTGTATGATTTTGTATGGAGGACGAAGTTGTTGAGTCAAGTCACAAGAAAGTCCTAATTTTAGTTTTATTTTCTTTCCATTTTCTTTTCTACCTTCAGTTAATGATAACATCCCTCTCGATCGTCAGCGTAGACAAAATAAAAACGCAAGATTGCACTGTAAAATTAAACAATTAGAAACTGGTTGTGTAAAAGATTACGCTAGTTTACGACAGTTTGAAAAAAGAATAGCTAAAACCTTTAAAGAAGCTTTAATATTGAAAAGACAATTTATCGATCAAAGTAAAAAGAATGCAGAACTATTATTAGAAGCTCAAAGAAAATTTGCATTAGCAGATCAGACTGCCTTGA